TATCCAAACGCATAACTGCTTATTTTAAATATAAGTTTCAGCACTTTCAAAAGTACTTTTTTAAAGCTGCTTTTATTAAGCCCATCCAAACGGGCCCTTATAGTTCATAAATAAAGTATTAAAATATATTAAGACATAAAATTAATAAGTCACATATGTTCAATGCCACCATAATTACGTGGGAAATTTGTGTTATAATTTCTCCATTTGATTACCACCGAATTAGCTCACTGAAAAAATATTTGATGAAAAATAAATTTCCATTGAAATTATGTGAATATAGCCACTGAATATTTTTCATGACTAAATCATCAAAATACATGTGAAAATAGCCGCTACATAATTTTCAATGGAAAAATAGTTTGATTTTTTAGTAGCGATTTTTCTATAAGTAACAATATTTGGGTTTACGTGTTAACATAAACTTTTAAATACGTAGAATTTTCTAAAGATTCTGATAAAATAAATCAATCTAGTAATTAACTATTCTTTGATAAAATACTTCTACAACATGGTACAAAATCTCTTCATGTTGATCATAAGTCTTTTTTGCAATCTTCAAATTATACGTCTGTTTTTTTCTTTCTAAAATATACCTTATAAGTCAAGTTTTATATTTTTTAAAAGATTGAAATCACAATTGAAATTTTATGTTCTACTTTTTAGAGAATTTAGGATTTTGAAATCTTGATTTGAATTGAAGTTGAATTTTTTTTAATTTTATTTTTTATAAATTCAATTAAGAAATGTTGATTAGGGCTCTCAAGTCCTATGTCCAAAGTGTGATCTTTCTCATGTAATTTTCTAAAAAATTTCAACACTGTTAAGATGAACTTTTGAACTTAAGATGTTGCAATAACCAAAATAATTGTAAATTTAATCCTACAAAAAAATGTTGGTCCCTTTTTAGCTTTCTATATGACCTTTTCTTTTTGGTGTACTGCCGTAATTTTGTTCTATATGATTAGATAGGGAAAATGTCAAAATTTTACTTCCAATCAATTTATAAAAGATTCAGATCTTGCGTTCGTTTGTAAAAATTTAAAAAGTGGCAGTATTGTTTGCTGCTTAGTCAAATTCTAAGTCATCTAGGAGTTTGTTAATTTAGTTGGTTGTGTGGTATCTGCTTAGTTGAATTCTAAGTGTCTAGTGGTGATAACTTAGCGGACGGTGTGGTATCTGCTTAGGCTCACTAAGTAATAGTGTTATTACTCTTCTTACTTTGGTTGTAACTGTGTTTCACTTTTACTTGAAGAGATTAGTGAAAACAGTTGAAAATCTTGTGAGACAAGTCGTGGTTTTACTCCCTTGAGCAAAGAGGTTTTTTAACGTAAACTGCTTGTATTGTGTTCTCTTTATTGTTTACTCTTCATTACTGTACTTACTGAGTCAAGGGACCTGATAATGGACGCACGTATTCTATCAAAATTTAAACGTTGTTTAGTCTTTATTAATCCAAATGTTTAAACATTACGGGGTTTAAATTGAAAAAGTAGGTTCTTAAATGTATATATATCTACAGTTGGTATGTTATAGTTGATTAAAGTGTAGATTATCTTCGTTGTAGTTTTCAGTTACTTCATAGATTTAAGATAGCGGATATGAATGCTATGTTAACTTAAGCGCAACATACTGTTGACATTTCAGATTCTTCTTTTCGTTGTTGCTTCAGGCATCTAATTACCCTGCTTTTGTGAATTAGATGAATTCTGATTTAGTGATAATTCGCAATATTTACTCCCTCTGTCTCAAAATAAGTGTTGTTTTAGCTCATCTTATTGATGATGAGAATGAAAATTCAGTAATGGTTATTATTGGCTAATGTGTTTCATTGCTCAATTACATCATTGTTTCTTTGTGACGACATCTAAATATTTATCCATGTGCTATTGAATAATATGTCACACCCTTTTCAATCAGGAAAAATGGTTGGAACCCATAAGTAGTTGGACAATCACTTTCATGTTTATTAGTTGCATTATGGAAAGTGTTAATGGAACATCAAAACTCAAAAGTTTAATGATTGAAATTTCAGAATCTCCGTGCTACAACGAAAGTGATTCTGCAAATAGTATCTTGAATAATTCCACCCTTAGACCTGAACACATCAAGGATGATCAGTTATCGGCTCATCGTTGCACAAGTTTTTGCTGCTATATTGTGTTCATCAATCGATCCATCTGATAGGTACATGTATAGCACAAGTGCTGTTTCGAGCGTAGGCTTGGTTAATTATTGTTTCACATGCTCAACTTGCTCTCACACTGTCCCTTAAAACCAAAATTGGTGGTAATTTCCCTTTATGTTGTGATTGTTGACTCCATTTGTAAGGTATAAGCATGGTTGATGATGCCTCACTCAGTGTTGGCGAGTTCGATTGGATTGCCTTGGCACTATCAAGGAACTTATTACTGTGTGTGGTGTTACACATACTTTGTACTTCTACAAAACATCTTTCTTGTTTGAATCACTTATTTGATTATGCTGTTTTATACAAGTTGAGTAATACTCAAATCTTTATGAATATTTGGTTTTGTAACTTTCTTATCAACATTTTATGCTTCTTTAACATTATTGAACAAAATATATTCTCCAAGTTCTGTTTATGGGAATCCTATGTATGATGTAGTCATTCAACAGTTGATTCACTACATCAACAGAAACATGACATGATAGGTAACTGGCTAGTTTTTGTTGTCTGATGTTTTGGATTTCAGATTTTACTTTTAAAATTTACAGATTTCGGATTGAATTGCATATCCAAAAAAAAAAAAAGACAGATTCCTAAACTTGTTGGGTTTTTTCTCTCAGGTACCTCAACTACGTCATTTTCCTATTGAATCATTAAATCACCCCTAATTTGTTCCTTTTTAAAACATGATTGGCTGATTTTGATTGACTTTTTTATTGTAAATGTCTTCAATCGTGTCCGTATTGTATTGATTTTGATTGAAGGAATGAAGACAAACTGGGTGTTAGTCTAATTTGTTTTCTAATGTGTTCAATGTCTTGAAGTAAACACAATTATTCTCAAACATTTTCACTATCAATTGGATTAATGTGTTCTGGAACAACATATGTATGCTCTATCAATACCCTTCACAAAATCTGGTTCCACTTCAGTCAACGGTGTTTTAAAGGAACAAATTACGGGTGATTCAATGATTCAATAGGAAAATAGCATAGTTGAGATACCTGAGAAAAAAAACCTATGTATTTGGCCTATACGTTTTTCTTCTTTCACATGTCACCCATGAAGTAAGTAGGCCATGATGACCTCGATCCTTGTTAGAAAGTTGTACATTCTATGGTTGCATATTATTAATAAGTGAATTGAGGTTGTTAATTGTTATGGACTGTATTAAAGGCTCAAAATTCAAAATTGAAATTCGAAATATCTAAACAGATTAATCCAAAACCGAACATAAAAATATCCAACCCAATATGAGCTTACTTGAATTGTAATTTCTTCGACCTGGAAATCGAAATTTTCATTTCCAATCTGAAAGACACACCCCTAGCTAGATTCAAGACTTGGCCACATACATTGTATTCATTTTTATAGAGAGGACTGTTTTTAGACTTTTCAATTGTCCTCTGCTCATTGGAAATCAAATAACTCTTTAAGAGTACAAAAGTAATTGATTTTGATGAGAGTCTCAATTCAATTGTACTTAAATCTTTAATTCTTTTTATTTGTGGTGATAAAGTGTTTTGCAATGGTCCACATTAGAAGACAACTTAATTGTTTGAGAATATTTGTATACTTTTCTATTTGCTTTTAACTCTATAGGAGACATATGAGGGGACCATTTGGTTTTAGGTCACTTTCAAATTACTTGTTTTGCTCCCTCAAGGCTTCCTTAATGTCTATCTCTTTCTCCAACACTAATGGGGACCTCTGGTCTGGTATTTTTGTTTCTCTCTTCTCTTTGTAAATTATTACAAAAACTTTTTGAAAAATTGCTACCACTCAGGTTATTGGTGGATGTAAAAGTCTAACATTTCTTTACCAAGAGAAGTAGTATGATATTTCTTTCTTTGGATACATCCACACAAAGAATGATACAAAAATTCATACTTATAGTATGTAATATCAAGATATATATATATGCTTTCATATTTCTATTGAAATGATTGTTGTATTTGCTGTCATGAAAAGGATAAGGGAATATTAGTAGTAAGTAACAAATCAATAATAACCAAAGATCTTTATTTCTTAAAAAAAATAAAAATCATATTCTTTTTTATATTATTTTATAACTTAAACCATAACATGTTACTTCCCTAGACTCTAGCTATGAGCCTATGACTTCCAAAACAAATAAAAATCTCCAGAGGACAGAACGTTAGTGTTTACCACAACAAGCACTAATGATTTTTGACAACAAAAGTGGTAACAGGAAATATTCAGTAACTTTTAAGTTATATATGTGCAGAGGTGGATCCACGGTATGAAAGATGTAGGTTCACGAAAATTAATACCTTTTGTCTAGACCTTGTATATATATATATATATATTAAATATTTGATTATGAATTCAATTTTTATCGTGTATTAATTTGAGATTGTTGTAGAAATTCATAAATTTTAAATGTTTGATCCTTCCCTAAAGTTCACAATTTTATGATGAAAAGCTGTTTGTACTTTGTTCTGTAGACAATGCAATGCATGGTTTTGATTGGTAGTATAATGAGAATATTATTTTAGCAGATTAATATATGAAAATTCCAATGTGACATAAAAGTATAAACTAGTACAAAGTAATAATAGAAAATAATTTTTTGCATTGCTTTTTATGAGTAGAATTAATTCTTCAAGAATAAAACATTTAGTCAATCAACTTGTATGTGAAGCTTAGTAGTTGAATTACTTGCTTACAAATTGTATGCAAAAATTATTAAAATGTTATATAATAGTACTAAAATTAAGGTAATGTAGCAACATCCGTGAGTGTATATATATGGGGTTTGTCTTTCAAATTTTCGTTTACTCTTTCTTCATTTCGTTTTCAGTTATTAATTGAATTTGTCTGTAGTACACCACCCCATATGTTATTGTTAGAAAAAGAATAGTACATTATTCAATCAATACTCGTTTATTTTATTTTATTATATATGTACATATACAGTATTTATTCCTTTATATGAATGAAAGCTAGAGTTCATTCATTATTTGAATTGATAAAATCTTTCCTTTTTTTATAGTTTGATATGGAAACTTCGCAGTCTCTCTCGATTGAGAGTTTTTCGTATAGTTGGTTAGTAGATTTGGGGGATTCTTTTAGAGCTTCAATGGATGATTATGAAACTGCTTTTATTGAGATGGATCCTGCACTACCTCCGTCAAAGAGGTTTTTTAATGTGAATCCACAGGATTTGAATTTTAACTTTCCTACATCAGATTCAACTCTTGTTCATGCTGATGAACTCATTTCAAACGGCTTGTTGATGCCTTTGTTCATCAAGAAGCCGATGAAGATGGAGTCGGATTACGATGTAACTGAATCCGACTCCATCGTGAATTCTCCGGCATGTTCTGCTGCTGCGCAGCAGGAGGATGAGTCGCGTTGTTCGTCCAGGGTGAATCGTTGTGTGTCGTTGAGGAGATGCCGGAGTTTGTCGAGGAGGATTTTGGTGAAGTATTTTGATTTTCTTAGGCCATTTTGCCAGAAAATAAGAAGGTGCAGTAGAATTGGTAGATGCAGATCAAGTAGTGGAAAGGAAGTGATGAAGAAATGGGAATATTGTTCAGCAGCAACATCTCCAAGGATAAGTGTAGCTTATTCTGTTGATAATTGGCGTAGATCTTGTGATTCTGAAAGCTCTATTTATGAAGCTGTTTTACATTGCAAAAGAAATCATTAATGGTATGCTACTCTACTTCTTTTCACTTTCTCTCTCTTCTACTTTTTTTTCCACAACGGATCTACAGTCAGAAAATTCGAAATAAGTTAAATGTTACACATACATGAGTGTATATACGTAGTTCGAGTTGAATGTAATAATTCATAGAACTAATTGTTGAGTTTACCCCACTAGATTGATATGTTCGTTTCGTCTATGATTTTAGATAATTTACGCTGAAGATCCATTTGTTATTGAACTTTCATATTGTATTGTTCATGCTACAGTTGTCAGTCTGAATGTCTGAGATATATTGAGGTTGTCCACATTAAAAATTCATTTTTTTTAATAAGTTAACTTTTGAATTGAATTAGGGTCGAGGTTCATATTTCTTTTATCGGTTTCTCTAGCAGAATTCGATTGTCACTCAGATTATAATATTGTTTTTTTGTTTGTTTAAATTTCAGGTAAATGGAGAAAATGAGAAGGAGGTCTAAAGAAGTTCACACATGTGACTGAATTGCTATTTCTCTTATCTTCAAGAATGGGATTGTGAATTTTTTGTCTTCTTGAAGGAAGTGGAAAAAGCTTGTAAGGGACTGTGTCAGCCATGAGAAAAATATTCTTTGGAATTTTTGAAGATATGATATTATCTTCATCATCACTCGTATTATTTTAATTTTTTGTCTTTTTTTTTCCTGCACAATTTCAACTAGGAAATTGTCTTGCTTCTGTGATTTGTATAAAGTTTTTATGGGAATAATAATAATAATAATAATAATAATATTTCAGAATTAATATATATTTTGTATGTCATCACTTACGTACTTCCCCTATAGCATTTACCCTTTTGATCTTGCTAATTATTATAATAAGCAAATATTATAATGATAATAATTATATTCCTATGAAGAAAGTACTAGTAATTAAACATTAATTAAACTCAAAGAGTTTTAGTACTACTACAAGTACTAGTTCTATATTATATTCGAAAGAGAATTCATATCATTTTCTGCATGCCTTGTATCTGCCATTAATGGCACCTTAAATGGTCGACAAACATAAATTTGTTAAGAGTGTATGACCATTTTGCGAAATGACGGTGATATTTAATCGGTTTTGTCTGATATCATATCATTCATATTAAAATATGAAATAATTTTATCTAAAAATTTAAATTATTAAATATTATTATTATTATTATGTTCTCAAACCTATGTATAGCCGCTTAAATGGTCACAAGTATACATTTGCCCCACTCGAAAGTGATTTATTTAAGAAAAAAAATTAAATTGGTCAAATTTAATTGCTCGTCTATTTTAAACTCTCTACTTCGAAAGCTTATAATTTAGACAATATTAATCTATCCATTCGTTTTATTTATTCATATTACGTTCTTATTTTTACTTATTACGTATTGTTTATTAAGAAAAAACATGTTATATTCTTAATGTTAATTACAAATTTCCCATATTCATTTTGGCATATATAATATCTTCTAATAATATTAGTAAACAAAGCTCGGACAACAACTTGAATAAAAGTTATATTATTGCTAAATAAAAAATAAAGATAGTGATGAAATTAAGGGTAGAAATAAAATAAATCTTTTTAAATTTAAGTAAAACTACACAAAACAGAGGTAACATTAGGAAAATGATGGTTCAGTTGGTTATTTTTAGAAAACTATAGCATTTCAATTATTCGGTTATTTTATAATATATAATTAAAATTAAAATTTTAAAATCATCTCAATCCTAATTTATGTGACAGATGCAACACAAACATTATTTCATGTGGATATTTTAATATATCAATTATTTTACTTTACTTTTTATTTGAATTCTTAATAACACATGTTACTTTCTGTGTTCGAGAGTTTAATCATTTTTTATGTGTCTCCTAAATATTTTAAATTTTGTGATTTGTAGTAATTTTTAGGTCATTTTTTTTTCAAAAAAATATATATGTTACTTTTTTAGTCTCATTTTATAAGGAATGGTATAATTTGGAGAGACAACTAAATTTTTATTAGCAAATAAAGATTCACATTCACAAGATTGATATCTGAAGAATTTAGAATCGGATGTACTAATTGAAATCGGTATTTATACGAATTACTACTCTGTCACTTTAATTCGATAAATAATATATGAATTGAAAAAGAAGGAACTAATAATAATACAAGTTCTATAATTAATTCAAACGTACGTAGATATAATTACCCTAATAATTAATCCACAAATTAATTACATTGAGACCATACTTTTTCTGAAATCCCTGGTAAGGCTAAAGGCAACGTGAGACTAACTATAATCTTTTTAATTTCTATCTTATATGATCTATTTAAATTTTTTCATTTTTTTTCACAACATATAAGCTTAGTTTACTAGACAATATATTGTCTTTTATTCCATCTTTGATTTATTGGCAATCATTACTAGAATTACTTTTATATTAAATAATCATTATTTTCGTGATCTATACTACAAAGTTTTGATGGAGCTCTAAGAATAATAATAATTCAAACTTTTTCTTGGCCCCTTCTGATTGACATGACCATTTTATGTTGCTCCGATTAATAGCCGTTAACAATTAATTGAAATATTTTAAAAGAAAAGATTTTTTATTGTACGATTTACATTTCTTTGGACGGTTGTTATCTGTAATTTTAATTATATTGTTAGTTTAAATATTAATTGTTATTTAAATTTTTATTGTATCTTATTCTTTAAATTTATCTTAGGTAACTTTGAAAAAACTTATTTTATAAAAGACCAATTTGGTGTGATCGTGTTGTTACTTTAATTTTGTTTTCATTTTAACTTTATTTATTAGTTAATAATTGTATTTCATCTTTTATCCTACTTTTTCCATAGTTTTTCTACACCGTACCCTACTTTGCTTATAGGTTTATTTAAATCATGAATGTGTGACATTATATAACGATATAAAATGATACAACACATTATAAAATAAGTAAATAACATATTATATAACGATTTTGTTTTTTTCGGTGGAGTAAATCATTGTTGTTCCAGCGATTTTGCCGTTTTGGTTAATATAAAATTTTATATAGTGTTTAGAAAATTTTTATTAATATTTTATACATTTTAGGCTCCGGACTCTATAATATATATATATATATATATATATATATATATATATATATATATATATATATATATTAT